GTAGTATATTTTAAATATCTGATTGAGGAGATTTTCCCATTTAGCCCGTTTTGTTTATACTATAGAAAATACGTAGGAAATCTTTTAAGGAAAATAATAATATTGCCAAAAACATTATTGATCAGGTTGAAAAGGATCCAAAACACACACACACACACACACACTTTTTTTAGGAGTATTCAATATAAAAAAAATTCTTATATTTTTAAGAATATGTCATATATCAAAACAAGCTTAATAGATACAAATAAATGCCAATATTCTATCTAAGTCGCCAATAAATTATTACTGTTAATGTGTTTGCTTTCTAAATTAATAATACTTTATGTGACTATTTTATATATAGAATAACAAGGATCAATTTAAGTAAAAAGCAATGTCTGACTTCCTATATAAAATAAAATGCAAGTGAGTCATCTGTATTGTCAAAACAAGAAATCGTGTCTATCTACGACATAAAATTAATTTTTTGAATTATGATAATCATTTCTTGTTTCTTCAAATTTGAGACCTTCGAATATCCTATATAAATGATTTATGATGATATAACAAGATGCAAATACCATTCATCTCGGTTATCTTTTTACATATCTTACAGTTTTGATGTTCAGAATTAAATTTACCTGCAAACAGACAATTTAAATAAAAATTTTAATAAAACTATCTCCCTCATTTTTTTAACTGCTCCACAACATATCCATGGCCATCAAAATTGGAGGTAAAGATATTTGCATGCTTTGTGAAAAAACTAGTTTAATCATTGGATCTATAAATAAAAGACAACAAAATAATTTTGTTAGAATCGCAAACATTATATGCTTAAGATGTTTTAAATTCTCATATTGTAAATTCTTGTTTGCAATATTAGTTCTCTTCGCAACGCACATCTAGCGCACATATTGTACATAAAAAGAGAGAGCTTACATTACGACAAAACAATTATTTGGGTCTTAAAGGAGATTTCTGAGTCCCTGCAATTATTTTATTCCTAAAATATAAATGATAAAATAGTTCGAGCATGGATTAATATGTAATCGTGATGAAGATTTACTACTAGAGGCTTGAAAAAGTCAAGCGTTAAATGATTCACAGCATCTGTTTGTCCATTAATCAGTCGCTGGCTTTGTCCGCTGATCTAGGGGTCCCCTAACGATCCTTTGGTCTAAGGCTACTTTCCACATTATTACTATGCGCCTTTATACTATAATGACAATATCAAACTGCTAATCACGCTTCTCAGATAATTAAGAAAACTTTTTACAATTTTCAATAGTAAAGCATAAAGAATTAATCAAAATAAAGGTAGAATGCATATAAAATTAATACATCTTAATAAACCAAATTTTATATCTATGTATGATTCGATAATTTAAATAATTTTATTAATGTAAAATGCTCAAAAAATTATATTTGACTTAAAACGATTTAAAATAAACGTTCTTTTGTGAGTAAAGTTCCATAAATATAACTAGATTTGTTTTTCATTTAATTTCAATGCTTATATGGAAATAATCTTTAATATAATATTAATTATAAGATAATAATATTAAAATTTATAAAGACATAAAAAAGGCAAAACTCAAATATTTGCTAAAAGAAGTGTATATTTAATTAGTCGAAAAATCTTAAAAAAAAAAAAAAAAAATATGATAGTTTTTTAATATTTTTGGGCAATAATATTTTATATTAATTTATATTAAATCAGTTTCTCTCTCATGATCTAATTGTAGGCATAAATTTATCGCGGCTTTAATCGTATCCTCTACTTTTGTGTTCCTCTAATATAGCTATTGACGATGGAACCCCTTGCTCAAAAATTCTAATATTACGCATAGGTTATGCCATGTTCCTAGCATACTCGTGATCGTGTATGTTTCTATTTCAATTATAGTATATCGACTCTACAATCACATTTGCATTTACGAAGTGCGTTTTGCGAGTCATTGTGCGTCATTGAATTGTCAAACTTTTGGTCTCGTGTCCCATCTCGATCCGAGAAATCTCTCTATAAACCACTACCGCCGTTACATTGCGGTGACAGTGTCGGCTCTCGCATGTATCAATCCATTCTCGAACCATCTGAAGACACCAATGCCCGTGTCCTAAATCTTATCTTACTATTACATTTGCTGCTAATCCATCCAAATTCTTTCTTTTTCAGGCATACCTGAAGGGAACGTGAGATATCAATTGTAAATTAAAAGCTAGAAAACCAGATAAGTAGTCATAAAAAAAAACTATTGCGTATAAATAAATGCGTAGCTGTACATATTGTTTATAAGCGCCTCAACGAGTACAACATGTGGTGTAAATTTTGTTCAGTAATATCAGTTAATATAAATTTATTAACAATTCAATAGTAATAAATTTTTTTTCACTATTTTTGTGATCAATCTTGGTGTCAGATTCTAATTTTAAGCTTAAGTCATCATTTAAGCAGTAGATTAAGTTCATCATTGATATTTTTCATTCATTTTCAAGTTCATTATTACTAGACATCTACGTTTCATTCATGCATGCCCAAGTTACAATAACACAGTTCAACAAAAACTAATTTTAATTGTCAAATCCAAAGGTAAGAATGTAATTATTCCCATAGTCTTTTCTTTCAAATTATATTTCTTATCTCCATAATATTTTGTCATGTCAATTTTGAGATATGTGAACTGTGAAGTGTAACACGAAAATGTAAAAAAAAATATTTCAATAAATTTTATATCATATAGTTATAGCGAGTAACTTGTTTGAAATGGTTCATCCGAAATGGTATATTGAAATGGTATATCCGTTCAGTTATTGTTAGAATTTTCAGCCTTTTAGTTTTTTTCTATATGAATTTTTTATATATGCGAATTCTGAAATAATATAAGCTTTCTCATTCTATAATTTCTGAAAAAAACTGATAAATTTTGAAGAAGTTTAAGAGGTATCTTTTCAGAAATTTTTATAAATTTAAAAATATAGAAAATTCTTAATAATATTAGATATGAGATCTTAATAATAGAGATATGAGAATTTTTTTTAACCAGAATACTTCCATTAAATATTGGGATAACCATTAACTGTTACAGTGAAATTATTAGCAAAAACTATATATTAATTAGCAAAAGCTACCTTAATTTTGAAGAGAAAAATTTTTTTAGCATGTTATATTCGATAATTGTAACAAATTTTACTAAAAAATTCTCTTTTATTAAATTGATCTTAATTTTCTTAACTTTGACATGACAAAAATATAAAGAAAAATATAAAATTTCCTTAAATTTTCCTTTTCTGAGAATATTTTTTGTTGAACTGCGTAATAAGATTAATCGATAAAGAAAAATCGGATGGCTATATTCAGTGTTAAATGCATGCGAGAACACGGGCCCGATATTCGCCACATTGATTCATATGAATAAACACAAGTAGATCGGATATCGGGATCGAATACAATTATATACGATAAGATAGGTTAATATCGACATAATGACGAAATAGTAGAAATGATTTATGATTTGAAGAACAACGATATTGTGTTGAGATACATATGGTTACAATGGATAATACTTTCATTTGATATATTATAGAAAAACGGTACAAATTAGAATATTCAATTCTTTAACATAGAAAAATTAATTTTTTTCATAGTTTTAATAATTTTAATTGAAAATTATATGGAAAAAGAAATTCACACTTTAAAATCACATTTTAAAATAAAATACATAAAATAAAATACAATATATTCTATAAAAAAGTAGATTTATTTTAGGAATATTCTACATTTGAATTTAATACAGAAGAGAGGAAAAACTAAAAGATTTTAATCTCAAAAATTGAAAAAACTTATAAATAAGAAACTTGTAAAGAGCTTGCGTTGTCAATCTCACGTTGAACAAGAGGTCACTCTCGAATGTTCTGTTTACTATCTCGAGATATTGTATTAATTTATATTTACTTAGAATAGCTGTTATAATTGAAAAAGCAAACATTAAAAATGTATATCGACAATTCCGTTGTTCTATACACAAGCTCTACAAACAACAAGCATTACAATAGTAACACAATTCATTGTGTCGATGTTATCCTACCTCAGGGTGGACACACGAATCACATTTTCTCAAATTCTCAAATTTTTCAAATAAGAGAAACTTTGTTTTCTAAGGAAACATTTCAACCATGTTTCCTACATTGAAATACTTAACTTTAATTTTCTATTAAATCTCTGAAGATTTAAGTAACTTTTTTTTAGGCTTTGATACAAATAAAATCGAGAGACTCGATTTTCAATATTTTTACTAAATCACAGGAACTTTTGGCTCTTCCTGCATTTTAACAATTAAGGAAAAACTCTGTTAATTTTTCTAGAGCGTTTCCCAATCCACGCGAGAATATTTTTCGGATTCTCAGAGTACATTGAAAACTATTGAAGAATCCCGGATCTTCTATCGCGTAACCACCCTGCAGCTTAAAATATGAATTATGAAGTCAAGAAATGTAACCATTTCAGTTTTCGAAGTAACGTCGTTTCAGACATTGAAATTCCGCTTACATTTCACGACAATCCTCCATTTAGCGTGGTGCGCGGCATAAAAAGGGTGAAAGGCACAAAGTAAAAAATAAATTATTCAGATTGGCTCAGGCACATGTCGAGTCGGAGAGCATCGTACCATGTGACAGGACAGGTACGACGAAATTGGGCCGGAACGTCGATAAATGCCGGGACAACGATCACGCGATCGTCGGGACCCTCAACATCGAAGACTAGCCACACTGCTCCCATTAGCGTATCAAAAAGGAAATGTACTTGGTACATTTAGACAAGAGTTTGTAACTCAGAGTTTACAGTATTCCAAACAGAGCATCCCGAACAAAACAAAAGCTTGGCAAGTTTCTAAAGTTCCAATTTAAAATTCGACTGAAAGTCAGAGGCATCTCTTGGATACTTAGAACGTCATTTAGACACTACTATTTGTCTAACAGAGTTCTAACCTTAAGACATTTTTTTGAATTTTGTGTGTTGTCATTATTATATTTGTCATTTGCTTCATTTATGTAGACACGGAAGTTAAGAACGTTTTTATACTACCTGGACACTCTCTTGTATTGTTCGTGCTCTGATTCGGAATTGACAGACCGATTGGAATATTGACTTCCGTTCTTCAACCAGGCAGTACACAGTGTGTCTCCATAAGATGAGGAGAAAGAATTGAAATCTCTTTCAAGATAAAGCCTGCCGCGAACAATTGTTCTTTTCTAGAAACGCCCATCTATTTCCGCTACTCCTCGGCGAGTACCGGTGAAATCGTTTCGCGCTCGAATAACTGCATCAAGAATGAATCCATTAGAGGCACTCACACGAAGACACCTCAAGGACGCAGTAGCGAATGCCAGCGTTGCACTTGTATCGGTTGCCTCGCCGTCCGCATGTCGTTCCAATGCTGTAGCTCTTCAGATCCGGAGCTGTTCAGACCCAAACAGAGCCAGCCGATCATTTCTCGCCCTTTCCTACCCATTCCACCTCGTCGACGATTGTATACAGAGAGGTAGAGTGTCACGTCTCCCAATTGAAACAACGCAACCTGTTCAAGAAAAACCACTATTATTTAATATAATTATATTTTAAATACTATGAAACTTTTGTTAATCCTTTAACTGTAAACAGTATATATACATCGCTTGTAAAAGATGTATTTAATTGAACTTGCCAAGAGTATGTGAATACTTTCCATTAAATGACACAAGTTATTCTAGGCCGTACATTATAATGGCAAAGTATGTTCCACTTCTGCTATATTTCTGTTGTAATATACTTGTAATATAGTTATAATAAGCTCTGGAAAAGGAGTCTCTATATAGTGAATTTGTTGATTGAATTTGTTATGCTTTAGCATTTTGCTACCTGAATAAATAAATGCCTTCATGAATCAGTTCGTAGTTATTGTAAAAAAAATCATGATTTTCATTTAAAGCGCGTCGCAGTTAAAGGATCAAGAAATAAGAAAGTCGGAGATTTTATAAAAAAAGCTACCTGAAATATAAAAGTCTCCTTATAGAGGGGATTCGGTTGGGCACGTTTCAAACCGGTCTTAGATCGGCCCATTTCATGATTATTGGTATCAACAAGAGCCAATTTGACGTAAGTATCAGGAGGTTTCGTATCATTTCCGCCTCCACCACGGAAATGGGAACCCTTGATTATTTCAACTGATAAGCGACCTGTCGTGCCGTTGTACGCCAAACCGATTAGGATTTCAGCAACACTGCCCCCCTTCATGCTGCTGCCGTAAGGTGGTATAGCCGGAGAAGCATACGATTGGACCGACTGTTGGGATCCCGTGGAATCGCTACGAGTTAGACTGCTGGTAGTTCCCCAATCCTGTGCCTAGAAAGTGTAACACAATTTCCATCTTGGCAAATTACACTATTTCTAAGTATGCATTACTAAAAGAGATATCAGTAATAATATTTTTACTTAATTAATACATGATGTCCAGCAAAAAACTGGCTAGTCAATTCAAGGATAATTCCAAGACATTCCAGAAAAATTTTGATTTATCCATCGATTAATTTTCATCGATTCGTGCAATATTATGTGCTTTGTATTCAGGTTCTATAGGATTCTATACGAATGAATTAAAACGCTAACAAATTGGGAACAATATTTACTGCTTTATAAATAATATCAAATGAACGTTCCGTCAATACAACGATTTTTCTATTCTATATATTTTCTATTTTAGATATTATTAAATTCAAGCTTTCTGTTATGGTTATAAGTATATTAACTTATTGTACTTTTAAAGAAGGATTTATGTCCAAACACAACTTTTATATTTCTATTATTTCTTTTTTTTTACGCTGACTTTTTTAGAATGAAAGAATGATAAATTCCCTCCCAGGTCAGTCCTGAAATTTCAGGAGTTTTCCAAGAATTTTTGAGAATACATAAAATTCCAGGATCCAAGGATACTCAAAGATATACGCTGGACTCGTTGTTAATAATGATTGTACAGATTTTGAGAAAAACTTACCGAGGAAGAAAGTGGGGGTTGAAGAGTTAACCACAGAGTCGTTTCCAATTGGAGATTAATGTGATCGAAAGACACTCTGGCTTCGCCCAGCAATCTTTCCCGACGCATCATTCTGCCACCCCACAGATATACTCTGAGCCGTACTCCCATTGCATTTACATCCTCTGGATTTACACGAGGAAGCAAAAAACTCTCCATGTATTGCGGAGATGTCCCTTGTCGAACTCGTGTTTTACGTCTTTGTTTTTTTGATGGTAGCAAGACTAATCGTACCTGACTGCCATTAATGCCAGGAGGATAATTCCGTCCTTGTAAGACATGAACCTGGGAAAATAATATCCCATTTGATAACCGCATAATTAAACAACACAATTTAAAAATTATATAGAAATTCATTATTTACAGTACAGTAAATAAGAAATAACATTTCTTAGATAATAAATAAATTATATATAATAAATAAATTATATAAATTATATATTACATATATATTGGATAAAATTCATTATATATTTTCAAAATTTTTATATTCAAATTTTATTTTATTTAAATGAATATTCAAAAATAAAAAAGATCATAATAATAAATATTAAATTTATAATTAAACATTAATTAAACATTAATTATACGAACTGTCATCTCACGCATTGGAGCATCATACAGGAAAGCGACTTCCAGACTACCAACTTCCTCGGTAGCCACTGTACCCATCGTTGTGATGACGTCATTGGTCGTAGAGTCATTTTGCTCAACTTGTATCTCCTGCTCTCGATTATCGAGTATAATGCTAGAAGCTCCAACTTCCACCACGCACTAAAACAGACGAAACATGCTGAATGCAAATCCTTTCTAAGTTTCTGAAAATTTTGTTATAATTCAAATTCTTTTAAGATTTTTCTTAAACACAAGAAATGAGAAATCACCTGTTGTTGATCTGCTGGAGAGTGTTCCTCAGTGCAACTACTGGAAGTGGTCCCAGCATCTACAAACAATAATTAACAGATAAAAAAAAATATTTTATAACTATCCATAAAGTATCCTCACTTTTTAATGTTAATACAACAATGCGATAGATGTGTATATGGATACTGACATAAAATGAAGTTTTGTAAAAATTACGTTCAAAGTATAGGGACTACAGAGAATAAATAAATAATACTTTTCTGCACAATTACTACGCTGGTATGAAGATCGATATAATAATATATCATTATATCATACAGTAATGTATATGTGTTACAAATATATAAAATATTAATTATTTTTTTTAAATACAATCTTTTTTTCAATACAAATTTTTCAAAATTTTTGTGCCCGAATCGGAAACACTTGCAGAAATATTGAGGAATTCTATTTTGTTACTGTTACTCACCTAAGATAGTCGTTGGTCCGTCCTCCGCTTGGATAGTCAACGTATCCGGCGGAGGAAGTGAACGCGAATTTAATCGTCGGAGAGCGTCTTCCTCTGAATCGGAACTTGTTTCTGGATCCGAATAAGAAAATGCCTTGCCTAAACAGTAAAAATTATATTAATTACTATAAATTATTCCTATCACGAAGAACCGAAGAATATATTCTAATCTAGAAAAATTTGACAACTAGTGATATCATACTTCCACCACGAGTGATATTATAAATCAACTAACTTTATGTTTTACTTCGTAGATTTACTTGACAGATTTAAAACTATTATCGCAAAGAGGGGTGAAATTTTAAATAAATTGGAATATTTGGAGTAATAAAAATTTGCAAGGAGATCAGGAGTTAGAATCCATGGTGTAAACCAAGATCATGTACCTATGTTTTTCGAGATTTGAGATGTGGAGCTGTTGGTGGACTCACAGAGAGGCACACAGACTCCACCGAAGAGCGTGGTGGATGAGGGCGGTGTGAAGCACCACTTCCGGGACAGGTAAAGAAAGAGAGCTAGCAGGAGCACTACGAAACCGGCAACGGCACCCAAAACTGCAGTCGCTTCCACAGGTACTGAAACACATCGAGAAATTCCCATCGGATTCAACATCACTTCGTAATTTTTATAAAATTTTTTTAAAGGATACGTAAAATTTTTTTTAAATATGTAAAATTTCTTAAAAGATACGTACAATTTTTTCTTTAGAGGCATAATATATATTACTTTTTAAATATAAAATATAAAAAAAAAGTTCTGAATAATAAACATCTTTTTTTTTGTACAATATTTTATATTCGGAGTATAACTTAGTAACGAACATCTAGCGTGGTTTATAGACTTTTAATTTTATTTTAATTGATTGAGCATTCAATTCCGCGTTCTTATTTCATTTATATTATTTTTATTAAAATATCGTACTTGCTCCGTTCCCAATACAATTATCAGCACATTATATTTAAAATTCTTATTTCTTATTTGCTTTCCGAATGCAGGACATTTTCATTTTACTGCACGTAGTTAATTAATTAAAATTAATGTGTAATATCAGGAATAGATTTAAAGTTTGATCCATATAGTATATTGCAAGATGTAGAACGTTTTCATTTGTTACAATAATGAATAATATAAAAATAATATATAACAAGAGAACATAAAATTTTTGTTTCTTTCTTTAATTACTGCAACGCTGAAGATGAAGTTGTTAATGGAAATGAAGTTATTAATGGATTCGTTACAATTATGTTTTAATTAATGTATTATTATGCTATGAACCAAATAGAGAAACTAATAAAGGGCAATAAGAGTGCAACACTTGCCATTACGTTCTTTAGTATTAGTAGAATACAATAAATATTAAAATCGAAAAATCGAAATTACTATTTAATCATAAATCATTATATTTATTACTTTAATTAAAGATCGTTCAATACAACAATCAATATAAGAAAAAGTGCAGGAAAATGGACTCAAAAGAACATAAATAAAAAAACATAAAAATAAAATGGACTAAATAAAATAAACTAAATAAAATGGACTAAAATAAAATTAATAATTTAAATAAAATAAACTCAAAAATGTAAACCGAATCTTTTTCGTACAAATTTTCGTTTCTTAAAAAAACAATAAAAATTAAAAAATCAAAATTATTATTTATTATATTTATTTTATACTTTATTTTTAAAGAATGTTCTGTATAGCAATAAGTAAAAAGGAAAAAAGTGCAGCAAAATAAACACGAAAGAACATAAATAAAAAACAGATAAGAACAAAGAAAGATAAGCTAATAAACTACTAATAAACCTAAATAATAAAATAAATAATTTAAATAAAAAGAAAGAGAGAGTCTCAAAAAGAAGGAGACCAACAGTCTTTCCCATATAAGTTTTTCACTCTTTTCTCAGAAAACTATAATTAGGAAAATCGAAAAATCATTCGTATATTATATTTTCTCTCTTGAACTTGGGATGTTAGGTAAATATCGGAGTAAATATCGGAGTGTATCGTGGTCATTGTATCGAACGCGCGTTAACGCGACATATTACGCCGTACCTATAATGACCTGGAATAATTTATTATCGCTCCAGTTGTGACAAACTACCTGCGGATTACACAGGATTGCGCAGCGTTACACGCATGTTTCCCCCGAGAATGCGATACGAGAGATGCGGTGAAAAGAAAAAAAAAAAATTTAAGCCTTCCGAGAGGACCGGCAGATCCTCCAATTATTCTTCCATAACTTTCCAATCACAATTGATTTATCTCAACGTGAATAAATAAAAAGACTTTCCAGAAACCTTTCGTCGTTGACAAACATCGCTCCCCAAAACGTATCGCTCAAGAGGAATCATTTTGGGAATCTGCTCGCGCAGAGATCGTGAAGGACTCCCGATATGGAGCTCGAAAATTACCCTTTTTTTTTGTTCTTTCATCTTCTTACGATCTTAAAAGTCAAGCGCATATCGAAAGGATGATCCAGGGATGATTAGAAGCTAACAATATCGATTCGAGGTCCGATTTCCAACTGAAAGGAAAAACAGACGAAGAGAGGAGGCCGCCGTTCGAGTAGCGCGTTTGTCAATTTTTCACGTGGACGATTTCTATTCTATTTCGTAATCGTGAAGGAAACTCGCGCGAACATATCGCTGTCGCAAGGTGTAATAAATGATGTGTTTGACTTCAAGTTAGTACAGTGGAGGAGTTGTCTTGTCTTGTGGCGAAAGGGAGCACGGGGAGTCCGGCCGGATAGTGGACTTACCCGCCAAGAAGTGGTCTGATCCAGCCAGAATCATACTCGTCCGCAGTGTCGCATTAAGATGGTTTCTCTTTACGCGGCACGATAACGCGCCCGGGATTGTTTCTCGCGGATTAGCGAATACATCATCCGCGTGGTCCGCGTGGAAAGGAGGTCTGTTGCAGGCGGTTGCTTTCCCCGTTGAATCACCGAGGAAAGCGTGGGCTGGCTGCCGCACACACAAATAATACGTGGGCGGGGGTGTACACAACACACGGGGCACTCTGTTGCTCGGACCGACGCGACGTGCTGCGCTGAAACCCTGAAACCCGTTACCCGTTCTACACTTCGACGTGCGCGTGTGCGCGACAGGAGCGGCATAAAATATTTATCAGAAATATTTATCTATTAATATTCGTTTTTTTTTGTGTTATACAGATATTTCATACATATTTTATATAAAGCTTTAGTCAAAATATTTTATTAAAATATATATATAGATTAAATATTTCTAATATATATAAGTAT